AAATGACCCAGGTCAACACCTCGTTTTTAAGAGCACGCCACCTAGCAAGATCCTTGACGCTCATTCAACTGCAAAAATCAAAACGATTTCTTATGGTTTTGTTGATCATGACCTTCCTGAGAGCAATCAAGATCACTGAACTTAAATGAACACGGGTGGCCCTGTGTTTAGAACAGGTGCCTACGTTTAATGCGGTTGCATGAGGAGGTCTGAGAGCACGTTGCACACACATCTGGAATCTAATTCTGTTTGACCTAATTTGACCCAGAAATCAAGACCTAGGAATCCCGTACTTCAACACAAGTTAGCTCACACATAGGCCTATATACTATGCGAATTGGTGTCTAGCTTTCTAAATTTTTATGCATCAGGGGGTCAAATTTTACCGCCACACAAGCGCGTTGTATTCAACCGGCCGCCTGGGAACGTGTTAGAATTCCATGCAGACACGTCGAAATAAAAAGCGGCAAAATGCGATACTTTTCACGGCATTCCAGAACTTCCTCCGTCATTCTAACACGTCGGGAGTGCGCTAAACTCGGTTTTTAGTGAACATTTTTGAGCTGTTCTCTACCTGATTATGACATCACGCGTATGTTTCTGCTTTGGACTCGACCGGATCAGATTGGACCAGGGTGGAATGGGCTGCAGAAGACCGTGTGAGGGACCCTTAAGGACTAGAGTGCACTAGAAAGGAATGAAATGGATAGGAGACGGTATGACTGGTGTCGACTGGGCAGAGGACAAAATCGGCATGATAGGGGGGACGCAGCCAGGTACTCCCGAAAAGGTGAGGAAGAGCTCTACTAAAGCGCATCACACCATTTCTTATCTATATCAGGAGCTATATATGGTAATACATAAATATATAAAGGGCTCCTCGAACATGCCCCAGCGACAGATGTCAACAGCGCGAGGCACAGCGAGACCGGGCTGGACCGAACCGAAATTGGCTTACCACACGAGGATTAAACATTTGATCGGGGCTGACATTTACCAGGCCAATAACCGACAGAGAACTGAACATGAATTGGAATAGTGCATATTTTCAAAACAAGCATCACCATGGCTGTTCGATACTCCAGTAACACCGTGAAATTTATGCAAGACGGATATAAAAGGAAGAATAGCCGATCAGTGACGTCATAAGCAGCTGGTGAGATTATGGAAAAGCACGATTCCTTTAACCATAGTCAGCATGTAAACATCAACGCCTGATGTTTGCGGGGCTTTACAAACAGGTCGAGTACTGTAAATCGCCATAAACTTTTCCCTTGTGTGTGCTCGTGCGCATAACAGCAGCTCGGGGTTAAAGACATCACTCGTTTCATCATTACATATCATGTTGTTTGATACCATTTGTTGTTTTCTCCTGATATGGCCACAAGTCTAACTTGTAAATTGTGACGGTTCTTCAGTGAACATATCTTAAACATGATTGGGAAAGACACCAGATTTTCAGGCTCACCAAGGGAACATGGAGTAGATGTGAGCATGGTCTTTGTCGTCACCCTCCACTTGTCATCAACTCATGTTTTTAAGGCAGACAACATGTTTAACTATATAACAGGAGTTCTCAGGGGCATTCATCATCTTGCATTCAGAATATGATTATGACAAAGATGTGGAGATTGGTCACACAGCTTGGTTTAGCTCTGATTGAATAAGGGGTACAGAGAAGCTGTTATATTTGAAGGTATCAGTTGCTGCTGGTACCTAATTTAATGTAAGCTCTGGTCACACATAAATGATATATCACAAACATGTTGCATATGTAATTAAAATACTAGACTTTGTGCAAGACACAGACCTGTATGCAATTCAAGATGCCTTAGGTAGTTGTGCCATGATAAGATATGCCTAAATCTCAACTGTGTTTGAATCAGAAGTGAATTGATTCTGAAAGGACAGATGTGTTAACTCATTATTCAAGTCATTAACTTTGTTAAGCAAGTTCATCTTAATTGTGTAGATACATGTTATCAAACCCAGCCAGCAATGTGAACATGTCTGGTGGATCAAAAATTGGTAAAACTGTCTGAATATACCATATCACAAGAACATGCATTCCTCCAGAATTGGCATTGTGGTGGTTTTGGACACAATCCAACAGTTTGATCCTAAAACAAGGTGGGAATTTCTATAAAATTGTCAATGTGTGGTAGTTGCCTTCCTGTAAATTGGAGCACTATCTTCTGGAGGACTTACAATTCTTGTCTGTTGTCTCCTCATAAAAGCTTTCCTGCACAAAGGGCAATTGTATGGCCAGGATTGTCAAAGTGACATAGGGTGGTGAGAATGCAACTGTCCGTTGAAAACCTGGACAGCAACTCTTATAATTTCTGGCTGAATATGTCTGTGCTGCAAGGATGTGGGCCTAGGGGAAGGGACTGCTCCCATCCCCCCTTAGCTGCATCACTGTGCAATGCCTTAACAGTTGTAAATAATTGTGAATGATAATCATGGCAGTAGCACATAATCTCTTGGCATCTTGGAATAAGTCATTGACAATGCCAGGGCAGGGTAGGCCAGCATCCAAAAATATGTAACCAGCTCACACAGGAAAGCTGTCAATAGTGCGTGATTGCACCCAGACAAGAACGCATTTCGGACTGCTTTGCTTAAGCACATGGCTGCACATTCTGAATATTCGCCACCCCACAAGGTTTCCGTAGCACAGTCAAGAATGAACAGGTAAATGCTCTTACCCAGTGATGTCTTGAGCTCCCTGAGCTGCTCACTGAAACACGAATGGCAAAGAGAGAAGTGTAGTGGTGACAGAGATGTCTGAGGTATGTGCCAGGCAACTCCTGGTGAGGGTGTCAAGCCCCCTATGATAGCGTTGTCATCAATGTCGGGTGGTTAGCTTCCCGCTTTTCGTCAGCTTTTCAAAACTTCTTGAATGATGGGCGTGTCAATGGGGGATGGGGGGACACCCTCACAGGGGGCCAATTACGTGACACCCCATATGGTGGTCGTTGTAACATTCGTACACCCGAAAGTGACTCCCGCGTCGGTGGCGACGCAGAAAACTGACTCCTGCATGATTGCACGGTAACACAGCGACCCCTTTTCGGAATGTGACACCTTTGAGGAGTTTTGAGCCCATGAATACGGTGGTCGAGTGTGACTCCTGGGTGTAAAAACTTTTTCAGTGTAGCGGTATTACGCAGCGTACAATTCCTTTGCAGTCTCGCAGCGCATTCTGACTCACCGTCATTTATCCAACGATGCCAAAGTCCCCAGCGACTTGGATTGCACAAAGGTAACACATCACTGAGTCATTCAGGAAATCACAGAGTGCTTTAGAAGCGGGGGTTGCAGAATCTGCGCCATAATTCTTGAATGGGATGAAATATTTAACACGCGCTCGGGTGGGGGTCAAATTGACCCCTGAAGGTTTTTACGGAATAGTTTCCGAACGACACGGTGTAGCCGCGTCAAACATTGCATAGCTCTCGACAATTGAATAATGGATGGCCTGGCATAAAAATTTAGATGCACCTTGTAAGGTCGCTAACCTATGGCAGGTCAAAGTCAGGCCATGGTTTCAACAAAGGCAGTTTCTAGGGAATCGTTCAATCTGATCCAACAACGGAGTGTTATGTCTCTGAGATATTTTGTTGGGCAACACAACAATTGAATGAACAAATTGCACTTGCTTATGTTCAAGTATAAACGTCAGGCCAAGGTTAAAACTAACCTGTTTTATTACTTGAAGGATTGATGTAAGGGGTAGTTTCTGGTGCTCATTTCGAGCTCACTGATAGCAGGAACCACATTTTACACCTTCCATGCACTTCTTTAAGGTAAGAACAGGTCACTGACCTAAAATGACCCAGGTCAGCGTTTTGTGTTTGGGAACATGCGACCTAGTGCAATCTTTTCCCTTCATTTAAATGCAAAACTGAAAGCAGTCTTGTATGATTTTGGTCACCGTGACCTTAAAAAGACCAAGCAAGGTCACTGGGCTTAAGTGAGCAGGTGACCTTTTGCTTAAAACAGTTATCTAGGTGCAAGGAGCCCTTTGGAGACCAACCGGGAATATGACCTTGTTTGACCGTATTTGACGCTAAGACTATGACCTAGGAACCTCAGACTTTGACCTGGGTGAGTTCACGTACAGATCAATACACTCTGTGAATTGTGTAACTCTAGCTCTCTTAGTTCTTGAGATGTCTGCTGGGTCAAATTGACCCCCACCGGAGCGAACGGTTTGCAGGCGACCACCCGGGCGCGCGTTAGCCTCTCACATTTAGTCATGATATGAAGTTTTGAACTCCATTCAAAATTCAGTGTTTTGAAACACTTGCAATTTATTCATTGTATCACCCTTTGGGCGTAGCCACATTTGTATGTTTGCTCACTCTGGTGGGTCTTTGAAATACTCAGTGTTTTTGGAATTTAAATGCAAACAAGGGTGGTGCCCGAAAGTTTTTACATAATACACAGGTGTTTAAAAAATCTTGATTTTGTTAGGAGGTTGTCAACACTTGTTTCATGCCTCATAAGCATGCATTGCATTTGCACTACGCTCAATAACCTTAGAAATGGTTAGCCTTTGATGTTTGTCTTTTAACACAATCCGCAGGCTACACAATTACTCTCATCGAACATTGGAACAAGTCGGCACCTCTCCCTCCCCCCCCCCCCCCCCCACGCCCGACCATTTACCGCTGTCAGTTCAACTACCTGATTTACAAACTGCATATTCATGACTTGCGCGCGATACTTCGGCATACGTCTTCGCCACGTCCGGGAACGCCCGCGGTTCCCAGACGCATCGCGCACGCGGCCAAACGCCGCCAGGACGCGCCTGTGGCGCAGTGTTGATGCGGGGAAGCCCCGTCTTCCGCAGACCACGGCAGCCTGTGTGTGCACGGCCGGCGAATGACCTCGCCTACCCCGTCCCCGGACGCGGCCCACAGTGGGGGAGGGGGAGGGGGAGCGGCGAGCCCTCCCCGGCCGGCTGCGCGGACGCCAGTTCCAGCCGGAGCGCGGCCGAGGTGGGCGGGTGCCGACGGCGCAGCAATCGCAGCCATGGATGAGAGTGCTCTGGCCACCAAGGTGGCCTGCCTGGTGTTGTTTGCCGTCGTGACGATGTGCTGCGGCCTCCTGCCGCTGGTGCTCTCGAAGCTGACGAGGTCCTGGGCGAAGAAGTTCGAGCCGGGGCGTGTGCTGCTCTGGGTGCGCAGTCACTCGGAGCTGATCGTGTCGCTGGTGATGTGCCTCGGCGCCGGCGTGCTGCTCGCCACCATCTTCACGCACATGATCCCCGAGATCCGAGAGCAGTTTGAGGCGATCGAGGCGGCCGGAGCGCTGCCCAAGTTCGGCCTGCCGCCCGGAGAGCTCTTCCTCTGCGCCGGCTTCTTCATGGTCTTCTTCGTCGAGCAGATGGTGCACGCGCTGTTGACGCGCGGCCATCGCCGCAAGCGCCGCCGCAAGGTGCACCGCGCCGCCGAGGCGGGCGTGGGCGCCAAGAACGCCGAAGGCGACGAAGCCGATGCGGAGGAGGGCGAGGCGCACCCGGCCGGCGCGCACGACCACGGGCTGCACCTCGTCGCCACGCAGCATGCTCTGCGCGCCTACCTGACTGTCGTGGCGCTCTCTGTGCACTCGGTGTTCGAGGGGTTCGCTGTGGCGTTCGGCGTGACGCCGCGCGAGGTGTGGGTGCTTTTTGCCGCCATCATGGCACACAAGGTGATCGTAGCCTTCTGCATCGGCGAGCAGCTGCTGGCCACCAAGCGCTCGGCGTGCTTCATCATCACCAACATGGCCATCTTTGCGCTGGCCACGCCGCTCGGGGTGCTGCTCGGAATCGTCGTGAGCCAACCCGATAACCCGGGGAGCTTACTCGCCACGGGGATACTCCAGGGCCTGGCAGCTGGCACCATCCTGTACGTGATCTTCTTCGAGCTCCTCGGGCCTGAACAGCAGAAGCCAGGCTCTGGCCTGCTCAAGTTCTTCGTGGTGCTGGCCGGTTTTGTCGTGATGCTGGTGATACATAGCAGTGGCGGAGGACACTCTCACGCTCACGGAGGGCACTCCCACGGCCACGGAGGCCACTCTCACTCCCCTGATCTGCACTCACACACTGCGGGCGCGCACTCACATTCGCACGAATCGCATCCACACGGTCATCATGATCACGACCACGGCGATGGCTCGGACACTCACGATGACCTTATGAGGCGAGTAGATGAGTCGCTTCACTCACACGACCCAGATCATGCCGGCCACTCTCATCACACGGGTCACGATGACTCCGGTCACGACCATCGCCCCAATGGTCATGATCACTCTAGCGACAGCAATCACTCTAACATTCATGATCATCCTGGTCACTCAGATCACAATGATCATTTCGGTCATGTTCATGACCATGACAGTGGACACTCTGATCCTGGCAAGCACCACAATCGCTCAGGACACCCTGACCACCATGGCGACGCTGATCATACTGCCCACCATGATCACACCGGTCACTCTGATCACACTGATCATTCAGGTCGCTCTGATCATGCTGACCATTCCGGTCACCCTCATCACGCTGATCATCCAGATCACCATGATCACACTGATCATACCGGTCACTCTGACCACACGGATCATCCAGGCCACTCTGATCGTAATGACCATCCCGGTCACTCTCATCACACTGATCATCCAGGTCACTCTGATCACACTGATCATCCAGGTCACTCTCATCACACTGATCATTCAGGTCACCCTGATCATTCTGACCATCCCGGTCACTCTCATCACACTGATCATCCAGGTCACCCTGATCACACCGATCATCCCGGTCACTCTAATCAGACTGATCATTCCGGCCACTCTGATCACACTGAACATTCTAAGCCCCACGACCATTCAGGACATCGTGATCTCCCCGGCAACACTGATGATGCTGATCAGTCCCACTCTGACCATTCCGACCATCATGATCACACCCACGACTCCCACAGCACAGCTGCCTCCAACCACGAGTCCGACCACTTGGTCGCAGAACAAGGGCAGGGTACGGCCAACGCCACCCTGGTGGAGTATGAGGTCGTCCAGCACGATAACATCTCCGCCATCCCGGACGGGACCGGGGTGAACATCAAGACGGTGCCAAGAGAGCTTGAAGGAGCTCGCGAGCCCTCGAGTCACCAACTCACTCGACTTGAAGTCGGCAACCCCGAAGAGAAGCTGGGAGATCACGGCGGTCCCGCCCCCACTCCTGATCAGCAGAACCACAGCACCGGCAACGGTAGTCAGCTGGAGGAGCTTCATCATCACCATGACGATGGTCACGATCATCGTGGACGCGCCGCACATGACCATCACAACCCGACCGGCGGCGACGGCAACCACGCAGAACTTGACGCGACTCAGGCCGAACGTTCTCAACCTGACCAACGCGGAGGCGATGCGCTCAAAGACGTCAACCATGACGTTGTTGAACCCAATGATGATCTTGCTGATGCAAATGACAAACGCATAGCGCGTGGAAACTACCAGCGCGGTTTGAATGTGAAAGACGTGGAGTCTCACACCGAGGGACCCACAAGTGAAGTGCATGGTAATGATACCAGGCAAGACACGCAAATTCAAGACGGCGCCTAACGTGAGCATATCATGGTCGCCAAAATCAAGCGCAAGGCAGACGCGAGCATAGACGGATGGCCTTGGACTTGCACGGAAGGGACTCGGCCTAGGGCTTAGAGTCACGATACAACGGCTGTGGGTGAAGTCGGTCACGAAAAAAGCAGCCATGCGCGGGTGGAACATGGCGTGGTCAAGAGTCGTGACTTGCCCAATGCAGCTGCTGTGCTGTGTTTTCCTTCGATACAGTTTGTACTGTCGCGTGGCGAAGTTCGCGATGTTCCCATTATGCTTTAGGGTAACGTATCCTTGAACAACACGCACAGCAAGCATGCTGTTCAAATTAAATTTTCCCCACACCGTAACCGGCTGATTTGATTTCCCTCGAGCCTTTGCCCATGGTTCGCGTACAATGGGCATGCATTCAGGAATGAACGTTGGTAGGCCTTATAGACAGGGAGATCTCTTGAGTTGTTTTATATACTTTCATAGTGATAACATGCTGTTAATATAGCCGTGCTGCATCACAGCATTAAGGTACACGGGTAAGGGGTATGAAATAGACGCAGGCCTATTATACAGTGTAACCCTGCTAGTGCAAGCAGGTATGCGATACTTCTCGGCGGATTTGGGATTCGCAAAATGTTTCGACCTGAAGCCGGACAAAACCAAAGTAAAAACTTTTTGGGCTGGTGTTGATGTGTTCATGCCGAAGAAAAGCGGACAATTTGCGCACGTTTTAATTTGAAATGAATGGAAAGGTTCAATGGTCCAGGGATACCTGTTAAGAATGCTGATGTCAGTGTCTCTGCAGGCAACTGTAAGTCTTCGTTCATAAAGTGAAGACCATGCTCCGGAGGTGGATTCTTGAAGATCTACGATTGAGAGCAAAAATTAGTAATGCAATCGCTCATTCCATTAATATGTTTGGACTTACTGACATCACTGCTGGTGCCGTGCGAGCCCTTCGCTAGAGACTACAAGCGTGATTCTGTTCTGCTTTTGAGGTGGTAAGATTTATAGGACAAATACATATATATAACATACATGATCTGTGAGGCGATATCCATCGCTGCAAACTTACTAAATCGGTAAAAGGAAACAAATGACTGGTCGTGTAATTATTGCCTGCAAACTTGTCACCAGTGGGGAAGCTCACCTAGACATGCAATACCCAAAAAAGCTTATTGTCGAAACTAAATGAAGTGGCTACCAGGAAAAATGAGACGCAAAGGCAGTGAACTGAGATGGCCAACGATGTTCTAACTACAGCGAGACAGACAGTGAGGATTCGTCTGAAGATGTGTGACATGACCGGCTGTGTAATTATTATCTGCAAGCTGTGATCGGTGGCATATCTCACTTAGGTATGGAAGACCCGAAAAGGCCTCCTGTTGAAACCAAAATAAAGTGGCTGTCAGGAAGAGTGAAACGCAAAGGTAATGAACTGAGAGGGCTGACGATGTCCTAACTATAACAAGACAGTGAGGATTCGTGTGAAGATGTGTGACGACATTAAAAATTGTGTAAAAGCCAGTAAACTACTAACATTGAAGCCGATGAGTTTCCGGTGTGCTGTGTGTGTGCGCTGAGAGGATTGCAACGGTTCAGATATCTGCATGTGTATATATTGTGTGCATGCGCATTTTTACTTCTTTTCTGAAATATATGTACAACCGGTCCGAAGCCGGACAGTCTTAAAAATATTGTAACTTGGCACGTGGTTGGTCGTCGTAACAACTGAACTGCAATACCACAAATTGCAGATTCACAACAGATTCACAACAGATTCACACTGTTGCAAAGCGGGCGCGACGCAGAGCCATGTGCCGAGTGCAAACCAGCCCTGGACTGCCAGCACAACTTCAGATGGCGCCGAAAGTACATGGTGGCTACAGGCTGAAAATGGCGGAGGAATTCTTTTCTTTAGCGTAGGACTCGGCGTGGACGAAAGAAACGCCACAACGTTTTCTTGAGCGGATAAAGACGTGCGCATCAAAGGAAATGTTCCTCGTTTGTATTTGGTTTGCAATTGCGATAACGATCTGAAGATCATTCGGTGCAGCTCACTGCCCTGTCCTTAAGAACCGAACCCCTATAGTTTCTGAGCTGTATGCCCGCAAATATGCGCAGACCATTTCGGGCAGACTATTTCAAGGTGACCCAGGCATCCATGACGCTGTAACAACGTCATTCAAATCCCAACATTCCATTTGCCATGCGGTGGTCAGGGCCCAGAAAAATATAGTTGGGTTGTTCATATCTGGTGTTTGTAAGCACCACTTCCAGATAGTACAGCCTCGGTGAACGTGCAAGTTTGTGCCATTCAATCAGTGTTTTGCAAAGTATGATGACGCAATCAAACAGTAACGTATTGGGGAGTATGTTTACTAAAAGAGAAACAGTGCCGTGAACAGCAGTTTTTTCCACTTTAAAGCATACCAGTGATTATAAGTGAGCTTATTTCGTCACGCCTAATGCTTGATCCAGTATTTTCAAATGGAGATTCCCTTTGAGTCGAGAAAGACAAACATGAAAGGACGTAGTCCAGAGGTGAGGGGCATTTGTAACCAAGCTTCTGGGTCTTAATGGTCATTGACTAACTTGGTAACCAACACTAGTCACTTCGGCGTAGCTGACCTGCCTTCCTTCACTCTGGCAATGGACATCGATCGCATCATCCAGGCAGACTCCGTTTGGTGAGCGTCTTAGCATGCGTTTGTCACTGCCATTGTTCTGTGTAGGAGCTCACATTTACTGATCAAGGATAGATATAAAGTGCAAACACTCAGCAGGTAACCGGCTTGTTCCCAACCGGCCGTGCAAATATAACACCACTGTTTAGGTCTTCCGGACATGCTTGCACGGCCAGTTTGTGGCGATAGTGGTGGGTGCCGCAAAACATGCGCAGTGAAGTGAGTTGCGCTGAGTTTTTCTCACGATCTTGAGAGAAGTGGGTAATTTTGTGCTGGAAATATCTGCATATGCTTACATTTGTCTGGAGTTACCCAATACAACGTAAGCTTACAAAAGAAACGTCTGGCGGTCTTACATTGTCGATGGATTCGCTCCCTCGCCGAACCCTAAGAACGTATTCTAGTAGCTGGCGAGACTATGGATACATGATGAACAACAGAGCACACCTTTGAAATGACATTTCCACCCAAATGCATTTTCCTGTAGGAGCGTTGACCATGAAAATACATCGGTTTTCAACTGAATAGAACAGATGTGTTTGAGATGCCCTTTGCTTGCCACCCCCGAAAATGTTTCGCGATTGACTTGAAGTCACGTTTGGGTACCACCTGTTTAGCAGCCTTTCTGAAGCCCAGCAAGGTTGATCAAGCGCATAGACGCTCAGATATTGGAAACACTCATGCTTGATGTGTGGTAAGCCAAAAGGAGTACTGCATGGCACACCAAACCGACCAAACCCACGGGTGAGGGGTTTAGTTGATTGGGGCTAACACACCGCCAATACACGCGTTGAATTCGGTCGGCGGCGATATAAGCGCGCGTTTGGCACATATGCCTGCACAACTTGGCATGGGTGCTGCCGATCTTGTGAGATTATGTATCAATGACCAAATATTTGGTAATAAGGTATTTTTTCTCTTCTTTTCTACCTTTTTCAGATCGGAACATCGGTTTGAGGCACTATACCACGAACCTTGGCTTATTAAGCTCAAATACTTCATTATCGTTGCCAAGGGCGAAAATTGCGGGGCCGTCGTTTGCAGTTATATTTTTGCATGCCTTGCATCCAGGCTCTTAAAGCATTGCTTAACCGTCATACCAGGGAATTGAAAGGACCGTTTCACATTTAAAGATGATGAAACAGCCGTCTGAATGATGAAACAGGCTCACTTGTATCTGTTGGTACACTTTTAAGTAGAAAGTACTGCTCTAGACAACGCAATTTGTCTATTTAACAAATATGCTTTTTGATACGTCCTTGTTTGATTACGCCGCCGCACCTTGCGCAACATTGATTGAGAGTAATTTGGCGGTCGTTATTCCTGGAAATCGTGCTCATGAAAGCCAGATATGAAAAACTCGGCAAATATCTTTGTCATGCTTTGATCACCGAATGGCCAATGGAATGGCAGGAGCGACGTTGTTATGACGTCATGGACGTCAAGGTGACCTGGAAATAGTCTCCCCAGTTTCCCGCGCATATACTCAGAAACTAAATATGCTTAGGTGTTAAGAAGGACTGGGCTATGAACAGCACCAAATGATCTTCAAGTTGGCTATTTCATTTCAAATCCCCATAGAAATGTGGAACACTTCCTTTATGAAATCAGTGTACTTGACGTTCCATACATGTGCGTACAATGTTTGATGTCCCTTATATAAGCTGTTTGTGCTTGCGTGTTATTCAATTTGTCCTATATCTTAAAGCCGCTGATTCTAAACGTGGGTCGTCTTGAATTCAGAGTTATGTTTCCGAATGATTTAGGCCGGCTAGACAGATGAAGATCATGACAGTGATTTTGCGTGATCATTGTGTGGGAATGGAGACTGTCGGCGACTGTTGCGTAGGTCAGTTCAATTACTATAGCTAACTCAGCTTTTCATGACATGAAAATAAACGCCCTTTAGAGGCAGTCAAACAAACCCCAATCAATCAATGGCATACCAATAATTGCATATAAGCTTTTTCATACAGCAAAGGGCATTTCGTCCTTTTCTAATCACATAAGTATGAGATAACAGGTTCGGTTGGAATAAGGCTAGGTGAAGTTCAGTTCAGTTCAGTTCAGCTCTATTTATTACGTTTGGTGGGGCTAGGCAAGGCTATGCTAGACTAGGCTAGGCTAAGCAAGGTTAGGCTATGATAGGCTAGGCTAGGGTAGGCAAGGCTAGGCTAGGCTAGGGTAGGCAAGGCTAGGCTAGGCTCGGCTAGGCTAGGCTAGGCTAGGCTAGGCTAGGAAAGGATAGGGTAGGCTAGACTAGGTAAGGTTAGCTTAGATTAGAGTTAGGTTAGGTTAGATTGGGGTTAAGTCAGGTTAGGCTAGGTTAGGTTAGTTAGGCTATGTTAGGTCAGATTAGGTTTAGTTAACGGAGCTTAAACTTGAAGCGGTAAATAAGGAAACAAAGGCGGCTGATGTTATCTTAGGTTAAATTAGATTAGGTTCGATTAAACCAGGCTGGCTTATGTCAGGCTACGCTTGGTTAGTTTCGGTTTTGTTGGAAGCGGCCTGAAATACATTTTACGCCGCATGAGGATGTTTTAATAAGGAATTCGCTGCAACTTATCGACAATTGTCCCACGCGGTAAGTTCAAACTGCACGCCGAATAGTGCTGAAAATTGCACATCATAATTCTACGCATAATATTTATTCACGCTGGCAAAGTTTTGATGAAATAGAACAAATGACGGTGCACAATTTGGTACTTCCTTGGATTATTTGTCCTCGATTGATAATATGAACGTCTCAATGGAGCGTTACCAATACAAAAATAATGTCAACGAGTAATGCTTACGAACTTTTGGAAACGCACTCCTGTGGTGCAATTTTTATCCGTTACGAACAGTGGCGTTCGCATAAGGACATAAGTGTGTACGGACGATTGCATAGTACTTCATGTGTCCAAGCCTTTCCCTCGTGTAACACTGTCCCAACAAACGTTGTCATTTCATATACTGTACATACGTGGCCATGTGCATACATACTTGAACGTACCGTGACTCTTACGTATCTGTTGCATGCGAGCTTCTTTACGCATGAGCCTTTGTCCACAAAATTATATTAGTTTCATTTAAGTTGCATGCATACTTCACACCAACTGACTTTTGCTTACGTTATTATACAGACGTGCACTTGTAACATGTTGAGTGCATTTATGAGGACCATTATTCACATAGAAAAAAACAGTGGTAAAAGCCTCATTCCTCGAAGGAAACCAAGAGAATGGAGAAGGAGACACATCTACATTTTTCTGTTTTTTCTCCGAGGAATGAGGGTATTTCCACTGTATTATCTAGGCGTACTTTTCCGATAATTGCTTCCTGCCTGGCAGTCATTTACTTACGAAAAA